AAAAATGCAATACCTATATTTGGCCACTGAGTGGCAATACCGTTATCTTGAGGGGACATTTCTAATATTTTCAGACTTGCAGCTCCAACACACTCTTTGCTGGCATGTGGAACTTCAGGGAGCAAACAGCCAGTAACTTGGGGAGTGATGAAGGGTGTATGCCATAAGGCTGTGTAACCAGAACCTCACCATTATGTTGCACCCTTACACACACACACACACACACACACTTCCCTGCACCCAAGGATCCTCAAATTTGCCATATATCTATCTTTACAGGGTTTCAACAGACAATATGTTAATGAGGGTGGCAGGGGATTGGGGAGGGGGTGGAGGAACCCATTGTATTGGGGGTGGTTAATAATTGTGGGGTCGGGAACCTTGTGGGGCTAGGGAAAGGGGTCGGGTGAGGGGGTTGGAAAAACTTGTGGGGTTGGAAAAGGGGGGTTGGTCGAGGCCTATGCTATCCTCTTTTCAGCCACCAGATGGCAGCATTCTCCTATTTGGAGTCATTGCAAGATATACATGTGTCTAAGAAGTGTCTAAGAAGCTGCAGGGAGGGGCAAAGAGGGGTCAGAGGATGCCGGGTTTTTAAAAATATGTATTTTGTCTTCTGTTGCTTCACACAGGCCTTCCAGAAAGCAAAACTAGGGATTCCAATTTCCAATGTCTCTCACATATCCCCCAATACCAGTGATGGCGAACCTATGGCATGCGTGCCCTCTCTGGCACACAAAGCCATCTCTGAGGGCACGCGGAGAGACAGGAGGGCACCTCTCCAGAGACAGTTAAAGGCACACGCCTGTTCCTCCTCTTCCTTTGCCCTCTCATACCTTTAACTGTCTCTAGGTAAGTCCTGCTCCCGGACGTCCCACCCCCAGAAGTCCCACACACACACCAGATGACACCCAGTGCAGGAACACCTTTCAGTTTGGGCACTTGGTCTCTAAAAGGTTCGCCATCACTGCCCTATACCCACATGTAGACTCCTGTTTTTCAAAAAATTACATCTGCAATTTGTGGGTGGCTGGGGGCTTCTGGGAGCTGAAATCCAAAACACTCCTTTTTCCCAGCTTTGATGGCATCTTTTCCCCTTCACTGTTCCTCTCCTAGGTCAGCAAATTTGGATAGTGTGAGGGCCTGGCATTCTGCCTCTCGGGATCACCAGGGGCATGAGGGCACAGGTATTGGCATCAGTGCCAAAAATTGGGCATGAAAAAAGCTGTCCAAAATGGAAATGGAGAAATGATTGGATTTAAAAACAAATTGGTGTATATGTGTATTAGTTCCCCCGTTCCTGAAGACCTCGGAGGTCCACAAACCACACCTACAACACACCCCTCTGAGGGGACTTTTTGGCATGTTTTTGAGCCACTTGGGACCAAATTAGGCCCAGGAGAGGCCCTTTTTTCAGCAACAAGAAGTGACCATAAGTCAAAACTGTCCCCCCTTTCCCCTTACGCTCCAGAATTATGTCGGTCCAATTTATTCACCCGTGTTTGAGAGACTGAGCTCTGTTTAGCCAGAAATGAAATGAGCCATATACGGAAATGTCTTCCAATCATGTCTTCCTCTCGGCAGTGGTGTGTCGAGTCTAGCAAGAGCCATAGCTGTCTGCCACAATGGAGACAGTGACACCTCAAAAACCAGGCCAACACCCCACTTTCCTCCTTTTCCTAAATGGTTACAGGGTTCATGTGAACTCAGGAATTCTACACTCTATGTCTTCCTCCTTTGTCTTGCAAATCAGTAGAACTGACTGGTTCTTGCAGAGATGATGTCTGAAAGCACTCCTTAGTGGCATGCCAAGAGGTTGGACTAGTTGAGATCCCTTCCAACTCTATGGTTCTGTGAAAAATCGAGTGAGGAGGGGATGAGATTTTCTCCTTTTTTGCAAGGTGCAGCCACTAGAGGGTGACAGAGATGCCAGGAATATTTCCCTCGAGGAGCAATACTCATACCTGCCAGCAGTGGGCAGGAAAGAGTCATTGAGTGTATAGAGATATACTCCCCATGGTGCCATTTTGAGTTGTCTGCAACCTATTTTTGACATCAGAGCTTGGAAAAGTTGCTTTTAGGGGGACTACACCTGAATGCTGGCTATATTGACTGAATTGATTTCAGGAACGGGAAGCCAAAATAAATAAATGAATACATGTTCGGGGTGGAGAAGGCTAGATATAGGAGATTCTGGGATTTATATTCCAAATAAAAAGAGCAAATTTTGAATAGATAACCATGTTAAATCTGTTCCAGCACATCAGCAAAGAGTTTTACAGTACCTTTAACGCTCACATTTATTTTTTAAAATGAGCAAATTTTGAATGGATAACCATGAGAAGTCTGTTCTGACACATCAGCAAAGAGTTTTACGGTACCTTTAAAGCTCACATTTATTTTAAAACGCGCTCTCATGGACGATAATCCATTAAAATTTATGGAGAACAAAACCTGGGCCATTATTCTGTATTAACTAGTTAGTTAACTAACTAATTCCTCCTGGTCTGACCCTCTCCCCACAAAAACCCTAACGGAAATGTCGTTTACCTGCACACCAATTTTCAGCACAATGGACCAACTTCTTTGCATTCAGCCGATGCCTGGTAAAGTAGCTTGGTAATAGTGTCAGAATTGTGAATAAGTAGTGATTGTGAAAATGGAACAGTTACGGATGAATAAATCTGGATAACTGGTGACACTATTGTCACAATCGTAACGCCCTCCCCTCAACCTATTTCACCAAACATCAGCTGCATGGAGAGAAAAAGGTGCATTCTGCAGGCAACTGGAGTGCAGGAGAATGCCGTTTTCCTTAAGTTTAGGGCAGTCAGGACAGTAGAGATTACTAGTTAAATATACTTAGCTACGCAGACGATATAGGACTTGTCTACACTGGTCAGAATACTCCAGATTGCTCCCGGAGTATTATGGCCCTGGATTCCCCCATTACCTTCATACAGTGAGCCCTTGGTATCTGCTGGCATTTGGTTCCAGGATTCCCTGTGGATAACAAAATCTGTGGATGCTCAAGTCCCACTATATACAGTGGCAAAGTAAAATGGTGCTTCTGATATAAAATGGCCAAATCCAAATTTATAAATTTTGGGAAATATTTTCAAGCTTGAATCCATGGATAAAAAAAAATGACCAACTGTACTTTGGTGCTATGGTGGGCACCCTTAAACCGGATTTTAATAATTTATTTTTTGCTCTGGATTTTGCAAGAAAACCTGGAGCACTACACATGCACTCCCATTGTGTTGTATGGCACCGCTGCTGGTGGTGCCAATCAGTTCCTCTGAGGTCACAACAAGGCATTGTAACCTCATTGTAACCTCAGAGGAAGCAACTTGCACCACCAGCAGCAGTACAATGTGCCTGGCGCCTTGTTGTGACCCCAGAAGAAGACATTTGCACCAGCAGTGGTGGTGCCGTGTAATACAGAGGGAATACTTGTATAGACAGCTGCCAGCTGCCACTATGGAATGCTCCAGGTTTTCTTGCAAAATCCAGAGGAAAAAAAATCAACTATTAAAATCTGGTTTAAAGGAAGGATTGGATCTGGCCTCATATCGTGAAGAAAGTCTGCAAAAACAATCCCAGGCCAGTTTTTTTCAAAACACAATGCTTGATGGAGAGGTCCGGAAAACCTATAAGCATTCCCCATTTTTTGGTAACATTTTGAGTGGTCCTAATGAAAAAGCGTTACCCAACTTTGTCTTTGGTTTGGACTTCTCAACCACACCGCTACTTTGCTGTTGTTGTCATTGTTGTTCATTGAAATTAAGAGAGGTCCTTTGCATCTGATGCTGGCAACTCCGCCAAATCCATTTCAACAAAACTTACCAAAATAAATGTCCAGATCTCTTTGGTTCCTTCCAATCACACCTCCATAGTTTGAGAGCTCTTGCAATGTTTGTGCATTTCAGAACTGTTGTGACTTCTCTGGTGCATAAAATGACTTGTGCTGCATTTCAGTATTGTATAAAATACAAAGGGACCCACACTTTCTTATCTGAAATGTACAAAATCCCCCCCCCCATGGAAACAGCTGAGATTTGACAGCCGCCTGGGGAGGAAGGAGCCTGTCTTCTTCTATTCTTCCCTTCCAGCTCCCTGATTTCTCCTTTTTCCAGCATAGAAAGCAATAAGAACTGCAGGAAAATAATAATAATAATAATGTTGATGATGCTAATACATTAATATAAAACCTCTGCCTTTGGCCCTTGGCACCCTGCATGAGAAACTGGCTCCCTCCCTCTCTCTCTTTCTCTCTCAGCAATAACTAATCCTCTCTTGTCAACCTGGTGCAAAGAAAGGGTCAAGAATCCCCTTGTCCTGCACTCTGGAAATAAAGAAAGAACATTTCTACTATTCTACCTGGATTTCTCTCTGTGTCTCTTTGAGAGGGATGGTCATATATGGGTGGAATGGTGGGGTCATGCGCTCCAGAAATCCACATCCAGGGTTCGATCTTGGCCAGTTGTTCCTACAAACATCTAGATCAGACAATGCAAAACTGAAGGTGAGCTTTCCCAAGTCCCAATCTGGCCCTCTTGGGGCTTACCCTTTGCTCCAGGTATCCCCAACTGGACCCAATTTTGGGGTTTCCGCCCCTTGTCCGGCATTCAAAGACTTACCTTTTGCTCTGGGTAAGTCTTTTTAATACAGGACGAGGGGTGGAAGCCTCAAGTCAGGTCCAGTTGTGGGTACCTGGAATAAAAGGCAAGTCTTTTAAATGTGGGGCAAGCGGGTGGAAGGAACCCCAAATCTGATACTCCACTTCCCAGAGCAAAAGGTTGTTTTTATTTAATGTGGGACAATTGGGTCCGGGTGTTGTGTAAACAGAAAACCCAGAGCAAAATGTGTGCCTTTCTATACAGTCCCTGCCAAGTTGCTCTGTAGGTGTGAGTCACTGTGAGGGGATTCGAACCCTGGTCTCCAGATCCACTACACCACTACTGAATCCAAATTAACCTTTTCTATTCCAATGGCCATGAGCCAGTGTGGTGTAGTGGTTTGTGTACTGGACTGTGATTCTGGAAACCAGGGTTCAAATCCCTATTTAGCCATGCAATCTCACTGGGTGACCTTGGGCTAATCCCACTCTCTCAGCCTCAGAGGAAGGCAAAGGCAACCTCTTGCCAAGGAAATCCTAAGATAGGCTTGCCTTAGGGTTGCCAAAGTCAGAAGCGACTTGAAGGCACACAACAATATCCCCAGACAGTTGTGAATGTTTGGCTGTGATGCTAACAAGGACTCTAAAACCCATCTAGATAGTGGCAGAAGCCATGTTTACTATATACACTCGCAGGACCTCCAAGAAAACTCCAACCACTTGGATAACCACATTTATACCAATGTAACGCTAGTGTAAAGCGTAGACCTAGTGGTGTGACTAGGGCTGTGGGAGACCAAATTCCCTCTGAGCCATGGTAACTCACTAGGGGATGTTGAGCAAGTCACACACTCTCAGCCTCAGAGGAAGTCAGTAATGGCCAACTTCCTCTGAAAAAATCTGGTCAACAGAAGTATAGTGTCTAGAATCAAGGGAAGTCATAGTGCCACTCTCTTCTGCTTTGGTCCAGGCCTCACCTGGAATAATCCTGTGTCCACTTCTGGGCACCACAGTTCAAAAAAGATATTGACAAGCTGGAGTGTGTCCAGAGGAGGATGACCAAAATGATGAAGGGTCTGGAAACCATGAAGCCCTATGAGGAGAGACTTAGGGAGCTGGGGATGTTTAGCCTGGAAAAGAGACGGTTAAGAGGTGACATGATAGTCCTGTTTAAGTATTTGAAGGCAGGTCATATTGAGGATGGAGGAAGCTTGTTTTCTGCTGCTCTAGATAATAGGACACAATGGAGCCTCAATGGATGCAAGCTCCAGGTAAAGAGATTCTACCTCAACATTAGGAAGAACTTCCAAATGGTAAGAGCTATTCAACAGCAAAGAGGTTGGTGCCTTGGAGGGTGGTGGGGTTTCTGGAATTTATCACAAGAGGCTAGTAAAGTACAATTGCAGTAGGATAATAGCATTTTTGGCAGATACAACATCATTGAAAAGGTTCCAGCAGCTGAAATGCAAAGCAGGAACTGGGAGAGACATTGTGTGATAAGCACCTGCCAAAGATGCTATTATCCTACTGTAATTGTGCTTTACTAATCTTATGTGATAAACTCTTTATTTGGAGGTTTTTCAACAGAGGATTCATGGTCATCTATCACAAGGAAGGCTGGGATGGTGTCTTCCTGCATGGCAGAATGGAGCTTGAATAGATGGCCCTTGGGGGTCCCTTCCAACTCTAGGATCCTAGGACCCTATGAACACACCAAGATCTTCAAAAACTGGGAGAAGACCATGGCGGAACAAATCATTTTCTCTCATTCTAGGGAGAAAACTACCCTAGTGATGTGTCTACACATGCAAGGACAAAAGGGTCAAGGATTGACATCCCTACAGCTGTCCAAAAAGGCAACCACTCGCTTCGGTCACCAGCCCGACCCACAGTTGCCACAGTCTGCAAGAAGAGAGGGTTAAAATAAACACCCCTCCTTGGGCCAGCCTTTCTGGAACAGGTGTCCCAGCCGGAAATGTCTAACAGCTGTGACATGACACCCGTAACATTATCTCACTCCCCCCCAGACAAACCCGGAGCAGATTTCAGGGATCCGGTGATGGACAGGGGCTGGTGCCAATACGGCACCGTGTTTGACCCTGGGGAAAGCAAGGGGCACCGTCCCTCTCGGGCATCACACCAGACACATCAACATGGCCGGGCGAGCCATCATTTGGGGGTGCCTCTGGGCCTTTTCTGCCCTGGGTAAGCCTACGGGGTCCTCTTTTGTTTGCGAAAAGGGGTCTTGGGGGAAGGGATGGGTGGGGGAGACAGAAGAGCCAGGTCCATGGGGAACCCCAAACTCTGATCCCTGGGGATGGATCCCTTTCCCTCCTGGAATCCTTTCTTCTGATGCTCAGGAGGGTCTTCTGGCCAGCTGGGCTTCTAGGCCTTGCAAATCAGCTGAGTTGCATTTAAATAAGGTATTAAAAATGAATTATCACTAGAAACGTTTGTGGAAAATGTAGTCATCAGGGCCTAGGAAGGAAGGAAGGAAGGAAGGAAGGAAGGAAGGAAGGAAGGAAGGAAGGAGAGATGAAGAATGAAGGAACAAAGGAAGGGAAGGAGAGATTGAGAAAAGGGAAAGGAAAGAATTAGATTTTGAGGAAAAGGAAAGAAAGTATAGAAGGACTAAAGGTGGGCAAGAGGAAGGAAGGAAGGAGATGAAGAAGGAAAGAACAAAAGAAGGGAAGGGAAGATTGAGAAAAGGAGAAAGGGGAAGAAAGGAAGGAAGGAAGGAGAGATTAAGGGGAAAGAAGGAAGGAAAGAAGGAAGAAGAAATTCAGGGAAGGGAAGGGAAGGGAAGTTCCCTTTGGTTCCAAATCAACTGTTAATAGCCCATCAAGTTAATTAAAGCTATTTCAAATACATTCAAAGTTCACCTATACATAAGTATATGTTTAATAACAGTTAGACAAGCATATGCAGAGGTATTTTATTTGTTAATAAGGAGTGTGAGGATTTGAAAAAAAAATTGTTTAATGAAGAATTCTGTTTTAATTAATTTCAACCACATTTGAAGTCACTTTGGGTAACATTTTAAGAACCCAGCAATGCAACTCTCAAGCACCCCTGTCCCTTTTCTCTCTAGCTGTGAATGCCTCAGAAATCGAGGGTCAGTTGCGGGAGAAGCTCTTTGGGAACTACTCCTCCACGGTCATTCCCCTGCGGAGCCTGAGTGAGAGGGTCCCTGTTCGGATTGGGATGTCCCTCTCCCAACTCATCAGCCTGGTGAGCCTTGGCAGGGCCAGAGCAGGCAACCGGAGCTTGCACTACCAGGACTTGCCAGCAGGAGGAGCAGGAGGAGGAGGAGGCAGCTTCTCGGAATCCTCCTGCTGCTTGTCTGCTGCCTGCAGGGGGCAGCAGCTTCCCCACTTTCCTTTCTATGTAATGCCTCCAGGAACCTGCAGAGGGAGACAAGGAGCAATTGTGCTCCTCAGCTTTGCCCTGCCCTGACCTCAGTACTCACACACTATT